GCTTATGCCAGCGGCGGGGGCATTGCAGCCGGCACACAGCGAGGGGCTGGGGCTGAGCCTGCTGCCCAGCACGTGGAGCGGAGCGGCTACGCCCCATTTAAAACCCAAAGAAGTATTTATTTCTGTCACTCCCGTGTTGTTTTTTGCAGGTCCGAACTGCTTTGCAGGAACCACGATAATTCCCGCCGGCATCGAAGTGAAGGTGGACGACTGCCACATCTGCCACTGCCCCAACGGGGACTGGTGGAAGCCGGCGCAGTGCTCCAAGCGCGAGTGCCAGGGTAAGCAAGCTCTGTAGCGGCGAACCCCCTGCCCCCCCACCACGGCACCGCCGGCCAAACAGCCCGCCGAAGGAACGCTGCACACGCGTCCGACCTCCCGCCAGCTGCAACAGGGTCACCAGCAAAACCTGCCAGGGTTTCACACAAGCAGAGATTTTTATTCGCGGGGAAGGGTCTTCCTCCCCCTCCTCGCCTGCTCCTCTCTCGCTTTACACACTATGTATCCGGTATCTACTCTGCTTTTGAGATTATCAGTGCTCGGTGGGGATGCGGTGGTCAGATTTGGGGAGGAAAACAAGACGAACCCGGCCCACGCAAGCTCTTGGACTGATGATGCCTCCGAGACGCCGGTCGATTTACCGCTCTCGCTTTCCACAGTGTGGATCGCAGGGGGTTACACAGTATTTATTTTGTGATTTTTTTTTTTTTTTTTTTTTAAGTCCTACGCTGCGATTGTCGGGGCAATACAGCTGTGAGTGAAGCGATGGATCGTTTTTACAAGGGGGGGGTGCTGGTAAGGACAGGAGGGAGGTAGAAATTAAAAGGGGAGGAAGGGATTAAAGAAAAAACCCAACAGGACTGTAACTGCGGAAGGACTGAGGTTGATGCACAGGTACACGACCAGACACCCACGGCACAAGCTGTATCCGTGTTACACTTTCTCCACTGAGTGGGGACAATAAAGTCGAAGACACCTACACGCTCACCGCGACCGTGACCGGAGCAAGAGCCGACACCGGCTGCGCGGGCAGGCAGAAAGCGTCGGAAAGGCACCGAGAACGTCTTGCCTGGGCTGTCTCTGCGTGATGCCCGGCTGGGGCACCCACGGTGGAAGGGAAGCGGGTCCCAGCTGTGCCACAGCTCCCCCGGCTCTTGGCCTGAGCTGGCACTCGCCTGCCTTGCCCCATTCCTGTTTCGCCGGCACCTTTGTTCTCGCTGGAGCCAAAGGCCCCGTTTCATTGCCTTCAGCGACAGCAGGACTCGGCCGCTGTGAGTCAGAATATTTGATCCCTCCCGTCTGCCCATCGCCCCTTGGGCGGTTTCCAGGAACGTCCCATTGCTGTGCCACCGTTCAACCAGCTCAGCTGGCGGGTAAGAGCCTTCGCTGCCGTGCCAGGGAGCTGCCCTGGCTCTGCCCCGGTCCCGGGAGCATCCCTACTGCTGGGGTGAAGCGAGCCGGGGTGCACGGTGGGGATGGGGACAGGCTGTGTCCCTGGCAGTTGGCTCCTGGGGAAGGGTCTCTCTAGAAAGCGGCTGCCTGCCTGCCTGCCAGGAGGGGA